AAAACACACACGAGTGGACAATTATTTTCTTCACATTTCAACAAAAAATTTTTTTTTTTTGTTTTCCAATTTCCGCCCTAACATTTAAAAAAAAGGTGGTGTTCTAAATTCGATTAGATTTTGTAGAATAAGATCGAATTGTCAACTCGAATGTAATGTGTGATATACGTAGGGATTTTATAGAAAAACACACACGAGTGGACAATTATTTTCTTCACATTTCAACAAAAAATTTTTTTTTTTTGTTTTCCAATTTCCGCCCTAACATTTAAAAAAAAGGTGGTGTTTTTTTTTTCCCACGACGCTTAGGCCCACCATATTTTTTTTCAGTTCATATCTTTCTTCTCCCTCCTTATGCTTCTCGGATTCTGGTGTTGATGGAGAAAGGGTGAGAAGCAGAATGAGAAGCTTTCCGTTTGAGAGAGGATATAAATAAAATAATAAAATATTGGGGGAGATTGTGGGTCCCACGGGGTGCTGATTTGATTCTTGTGATCGATACGTGCCACGTGTACCCATATATAAGGGTTATCCAAATAAATATAATCTCATTGTATTTTCATAATTTATATGTATGCACCCATGCACATTTAGTAAAATATTACTGTATCCTTGAATTTCCACACGTTTTTCTCCGTTCTACAAAAAATGTGAATGAGTTAAAGGAACAAGGCCATTGAGCCCTAACCTTTCCGAAAAATATTTAATTTAACTTTCGACCGAAAAAAAAAAGGTACCGTGAAAAAACTTATAGTGGACTCGAGCGCGTGATAAGAAATGCAACCTAGTTAAAAGGATATGGTACGACGAGTAATTGTTTTAACCACGTGGATTCGACACGTGTCATTATCATTCAGACAAATGTGGGGTCGTTCTAAATGCAGTGGACATGTCCTATATAAAATTAAATGAATATAATAAAAATTGAGTTGAACCGGATATTAAAAAGATTCATTTTTTTTTTATATATAAAACTAATTGATTTGCATGAAGATAATGAAAATTGAGTTGAACTGAATATTCTTATTAATATTTTAAATAAGAATGTTTTTAAAAAAAAATCAAACCGGATTTAACCGCGTGTACCAATTCCAATAGCATTTTTAATATTAGGTAATAAATAATCTAATGTTATTGGTTACGTGAGGTGACAAATTTTTTTTTAAAAAAACCTAATATTTTTGGAGGATTAGAACTAATAAATATCAGAGGACAACTTTATAATGGCTTTTACATTATAGCTTGGCGGTTGGTCCATGTTTTTAAATAAACAAACTTTAGTTGTGGGTTCATGCATGTTATACAAATTATAGGTTTTCTTTTATTTAACATACAGAAAAATAATTGTAAAGATATTCGTGAGAAGGGTCGCCGATATCATTCATTACGTTATCGTGATCGCTGGGTACAATACAAGTGTGTAAATATATACATGTATATTTTTTTCAGGGAAAATTTTATTTAAAATACTAATATTTTTTTTATATTTTATGTGAATTGTTTGAAATCTTATGATAAATATATATGCTAGATTGATGATGTGGCAAAGCTTCGAGTCGCTCGGGTCTGAAATGATTTTCGAATCGAATCTTCTGGTGCCACCAAGAACATGAGAGAGATTGGGAAAACAATTTCCTTGGTCCGGTTTAGACTTTAATAATGAAATTCGATATGATTTCTAGCTAACCAAACCAACGGTTTAGGGTCCGGTTAAAAGCCTGATCAGGCCCAACTCATTATCGGGCCATAAAATAAAGATCAGAAGCCCAAATAAATGAATAAAAGCCATATTTTATGGCCGAAAAGCCCAAATAAAGCCCAACGGTTCATGTACATATAAAATTCACATTCAACATTTTGTTCATACATAGTGGAAGTGACGTGGGACCGATTTCAATGTTTAATGAGATTAAAAAAATAAAATTATGTTTATATGGACTTTGAAAATTTAAGTTTATTTACTAGTAAATATAAATTTTATTAAGAATAGACAATAAACAAAATAACAGTACTAATTTCACACGATCCATGTGTCTACACTTAAGTTTTCACAACTAAGTTAATTTTTTTTTAAAATTATTTTGCTCAAATAAAATTGAATATCTTCTCAAACTTAACATATATCATTGATTCAATTCTTAAATTACAATATTAGTATACGTGAAAATACATAGACGGATTGCATTCCAATTTAATTTCAGTCAAGAGAGAGAATAATATCACTTAAATGAGCTATAATGAAAAACATTAATTTGGGTCCATTTTCAAATCACCTGTCACATGAACATGTGCCTTGTTCTAACAAATAAGCCACATACGTCGATGTCTAGCTTCGCATAGTAAAATCATCAATCATCCATGATAATGCATCATATACACACACGTGTCTGGGTAAGGAGACAAACATGCACGTGCGTACACGACGTTTTGGTAAGGATGAGATTGATGAGATCAGGACACAAGAACATATGTGTGTGTGTGTGTGTGTATATATATATATATATTATGTAATTTTTTATATATAAAAGCCGAGACACGTGACTGATCCAAAGTGTGGAGCATGGAGAGTTGGTTTGGGTGTTTGGAGTTGGAGATGTGTCATGTTTCTCTCTCTCACACTCACACTCACACACATACACACAAACACACACGAATGTGTATTGGTGCATGTGTATGTATATACACATATATTTTTTTTTATAATGAATTAATGATGTATATACACATATTTACGTGTGAATGTTTGATTTATTAATGTAACATGCGGAAGTTTCTCTTTCAAGAAGAGGTTTTAATTCTCCTATGTATTTTTTTTTTACTCTTTTGGATTGGTGGGGTTTTGTAATTGATTTAGGTACAAGTAAATGTTGATTATGAAGATCATATTGTTTGTTAGACTCATTATTCTTACTGTAAAAAAATAATTACTGTATATAGCATTCTATGTATTTATTTTTAGAGCGTCCGTAGTTTTATTTAGTACGTATACAAAACTTGTTTATTATTTTTAGATATTAATACTATATGATTTAACACATGATATAGGCTTGGGGATCACATCGAAGATCGATATGACAGATTAACTAAGATAATATTATCAAGATGATTGGTTATAAATGATATTAGGACCCAGCTGATATCGATCCATTACCAAATTACTTTATGGATTCTGATTTCTTTATTTTTTTCCAAATTAAATTAATTCAAGTATTTTTTTTTTTCTAGATTCCTAAATCCTAACTGATCTTCGATCCAACTATAAAGGATCCAATCTTGTTTATTGACGAATAAAATAAAATAATAAAAAATATAGTATCTCTAAGCAATGAATTAAATTTGAAATTAGGGTTTGTAACGATGTTATATGAACTTATGATGGGTATAGATGTAAATCTTAAAGTCATATCAGCATTTTGCTTTATCAATGGACTTTATTGAATAATTCCATTGAACATCAATACCATTATCAATAAGAGAGTGTGTGTGTGTGTATATATATATATATATATAATTTATAGTGAAATTTATATATTAGCCACTACCTAAAACGAACCATATATATATATCATATGAAGCCGTGATTAAACCATATGTGTGTGAGAGAAAACAAATGGATTGAAAATTGCATTTTCTCGACGGGCCGATTATATTTCGGGAGCGGTTGAGGATCTCATGAAAAAAAAAATTACAGCCGAGGGACCTGCAGATTAACCATTTTATATTATATGATCAGTTGAATAGTATTTTTTTCATTAATTTTACTTTCTTCGTATTGTTTAACATTTCTTTACTTCAATTATCTTAAAGACTTAAACCTTATATTTCTTAACATGAAAATATAGTTGATCCTATCACTATTTGTTCACGTGAAGATGCTACTTACCCTTTTTATCTCATCTTTTCCCATAAAATATCGAATGAATTTTGTTTTTAAATGAAAAATTTTATTTTCAGATTTATTTTGAAGTAAAAATTATGAGATATATTTTTAAGTAAAAGAGAATAGATAAAAGATTGTTGTTAAAATAAAATATTCTTCTAACCACAAAATATAAAATAAATTATGTGTTGGTTATGCTTTTAGATTTTTAATAACGACCAGCTAGAATTCGATTCATAGACAGCGGAAATGTTATCGTTCGTGACCTAGTATTTCGCATGGCGCGCAATTACAATTTCAAATTTAAATAATTTTTTTTATAAAACGGCGTATTTATAGAAAATGTTATAATGATCTGTATCGGTAAATACATACATAATACCACTTTCTTACCAAAAACGTTGCTTATACGCCCTTTTTGCATTTGGGGGGTAAATGGTAGAATTTGATTATTACGATCAATTTTTTTTTCTTGGTCTTTTTATTCGTATGTTAATAATGATTTACCGTATTCAAACGAATAAAATAGAAACAAATAATCCCTAGTACTATCGTTTTTTTTTCTTCATGTGATTGATATTATTTCTAGGGGACTCAACGGTATAATGCGACAATATTAAGGAAAATAGAAACAAACGGTCCCGAGATTAATTTGGATCTTGGTTCATCATATCCGGTTACAAAATATATATATATATATATAAACCGGGTGCAGTTGAAGATGACCGTATGTTATGATTACTCTCCATTTGTAAATATAAGGAAAGTTCTATAGTTTCCATTGCGCGCTTGTACAACGAATAATACCTTATTCTCTTTAAATATATTGAACTTATTTTTGCTGGAAATTAATCGTGTTAGATTTTATTTGGACCACATTTAATAATTTAATTACTGATAATCATCTAATATATTCCACGGGAAATTCCAATTAAGGGAGAGTCTAAGCCAAACAGGGGAAAAAAATGAACCAAAAAAATCCATGTATACAGATATTTGCATGTATAGGTGTGTCAGCGCAAATATTAGCAGACATTTGGAGACTAGCAGTGTCGTCGAAGCTTGTAATAACCATTACAAAGATACTCTCTCTCTCTCTCTCTCTCTCTCTCTCTCTCTCTCCCTCTCACCGTGTCTCTGCGTGTATGTGCGTGTGTGGGATGTGATGAGAATAAGGAAGAACCACAAGGCGGAGGTTAGAGAGTTTCTGTTCCCGGAGCTGCCGGCCGGCGAACCTCTGCCGCCGGCGTACGACTGTAAGGTCAACCGGTCGCCGTGGGACATCCCTCGCGGCCAAGACCCTTTTGCTTACACTCTTCCCCTCCCTCCTCTTCCTCCTCCCCACGTACGTTATACATATCTCACTTCTCCATTGTCATTTTTTTATTATTAGGGTTTTTACATGAGTCGAGACCCACCCATGTTGTGTCGCGTTAGGGTTTCGTGTTTTTTTTTTAATTATATATATATATATATATATATATGTCGTCATTTATTGGTGATCAGATCGTCCGAGACGCGGCCTGGTCGAAGAATCCAGAGGGCGAATATGATGATCCAATGGGGTATTCCACTAAAACTAATTTCTCATCCTCTTGGATAACGATCAATCTGTTATTATATTATCTCATACAGGTTTCTTAACTATTCTCTGACATAGAGCCACGAGTGTGAAAGGCAATGCCGAGGGAGAGAGAGAAGGGAGCGAGGTTGATGAACGAGGAGAAGAAACTGAAAAGCATAGGTCGGATGACAACTGGGAAATCAGAGACAAAGGCAAAGACACACTGAAATATTACCGAAGATGCAGAAAGAAGCCCCTTGCCGAGGTGGCGGAGGAGAAGGAGAAGGCGGATACTTGGCCGCCGCCGCGTCGGAGCCAAAGATCCACCGCTGGGTCGAACCCTGATGACGAGCAATATTACTATTACTCGAGGTTTGGGCGAAGACGAGGCAAGAGTACGAGAAATGGCGGTCCAAGTGGTAATAACAAAGATAATGGAAGGGAAGACGACAAAGTGGAAGCCCCTTTGGACAGGGAAATGTTAGAAGATGCTAACGAAGAAGCTGAAATCGTCGTTGCTGAGGAAAAGAAAGAACACGATACTGAAGTGGACGATGAAGACGATTGTCCTGATGAAGACAACGAGACAACAGAAGCCGACACCGAAAACAGTGAAAAGAGCGATGGAAATGGCGACGAAAGCATTGGCGATTCTTTCGAAGGTGGTATGGATGAAGACGATCGTTATTGGCTATATGGTATCACCAAGTAGAAGATGTCAGAAACTGAAGTTGTCTGATGCAGACTGAGAAAAATGTAGTAGTTGAAACTTAATAAACCAAACAAGTTATACACAATGTTACTTGATGCAGTGATGATGTTGAAAATAGGGTTTGAAGTTGTCGGGGAATAAAAGACAATATATATATATATATATATATATATATATATATATATATATAAAATCCTCTAAAAAAATGTGCATGTTGCCAAGTGTTGCATGGGAATAACACAAAAATCCCACTTTATCTTATCAAAGATCAATTCGTTTAAAGAGGCAATCTCAACATCTTTATAAACCCTAAAAATAAACACCAGAGGTCTAAAAGTACACAGCTTACTGTACAGATAAAAAGAAACACAGAAGATTCCTCCCTTGACCGTAGATATACACGTATATACATAATCTCCGTCAACTGCGGTCGAGATGGCGAGTCCATGCCCGCAGATGATTCCGACATCATCAGTCAGTCCTCACTTCAGGGCGCTGCACAAAAAAAAAGGCGCAAAGACAGAAACCCATATGCTTATTTTCAGAAACTCACTCTCAGTTCTTTCAGCAACACATTGGTTCTGATGAGAATGAATCATGTATATATTCACGTGGCCTAGTTCTCATCATCACAGTATAAAGATGGAGACTTTCGAGTTAGTTGTATCGGAATACATGAGTAGGAAGCTAAAACCAGAGCTTGAGTTATTGGGTTGAGAATAAGGAGCTTACTTGTATATGTAGGCAGCAATTCCTAGGATTATACACAAGAGGATGATGTCCAGGCAGAAGTTACGGCTCGATCTCAGCTGACATGAGCAAAAACACATACCTTAAGTTACACCATAGACATACCTTGAGAGCTTGGTCAGAAATTGATGAACCGGAATGGATATCACCTTGGTTACTGTATCCCTGAGCCTCACATTGGTGCTTTTCAGGTCAGTAGTTGCCTTGTCGACCTGAACAATAAGCCAAAGGACAGAAAAATCTAGTTCAGGATCACCAACACTTAATATTATTCAGGTTTCAGAGAGCAAACATGGCCTTTTTCCCGGGATTTCCAACAAAAAAATGAGTCGGGACAATATCTGCTAATCATAACACATCAAGTGGTATGCTTCTATATCTGCAATACTCCAAATCGATGTTTGGAGGCCAGGGCAAGGAGTTCACCTTTGTATCTATTTCATCCATAAGCGGTGCTTGTCTATCAAATTCCTGAGATGTGACCATAGGAGTTTCACAGGGATCAATGGTGGAACCAAACAACAGAACAGAAAAGTCAACCATAGAAAAGATTTTGATGAACCTCATTAAAGTCATGAGCCATATCCTTCAGAGTATCCAATCCCTCAGCTATGGTATCCAGTCCTTGATCCTGCCACAAAACCAGAGGAAAAGCAGAGCCAGACTAATGTTAGATACAAAACAGGTCACAAAAATCCAATTCCTTCTGACAAATAATATTATATGGAGTTCTTTCCAGTCCATAAAATCGGTAAGACACAACGAGAAAGCAAGAACCACATGCCTGTTTTATCCTTCTCATCTCATATTCTTGTCTGAACTGGCCAGACTCTTTAGTTTGCTGGAAGTATACACTATCAAATCTTTCATCTGATACAATTGAGTAAAATACCATTCACAACAGTCTTTTAGGCTGATCGTATATGCAGAGAATCTTCCAGGGGGGCATATATATAACACTGGGATACAATTACCCGAGGTGGTCGTTTCGATTCTGAGAGCCGAGTATGAAGTTGACGTTGCCCAACCGCTAGTCCCCTTAGCTGGAGCCTCTGAGCCATCTGGTATAGCCTCGACCCTCTCTCTTAAAGACAAGACCAAGTCATTTCGAGCCTCAAGCTCTTCTTTTGAAAGCCCCTTGATCTGTAGAAGAGTGTCGTATCATCAAAAGCACAAACCTTTTCAAACACACAAGACATTAAACCCCGAATAGGATCAAAGCATCATAAGAGTATAAACCCCCTGATCATGGATGTAATCCACAGTCCCTAAATCATAGGCAAAGGGTATATAAAAGGGACCTTTTTGAGAGATAGTCTCTGAAGCTTGGGGATTTCTTCGAGCAAACGAGCTTTAGTCCTCCGAATCTCCGCGTTCGTCGCTACAGCTTTAGCCCTATTCGTCTCCGAAGAGACAGCCTCCGCTTTCTAAACGCAAAACCTCCGATTACAAAAACAAAAAAATTCTAGCCAAAACCAAACAGACAGAGTAGAAACACAACCCTAAAACCCAAAAAGGAAGAAGACGAACATCACCTGAAGAACAGTCTCGAGGGAGGAGTCGACGGCGGCGAAGAGGCGGGCGAAAGGGTCGTCGCCGGAGACATTAGCTTCTCTCTGTTTGTCGACGTCATACTTGTCGTACTTCTTGCAGATGGCGTCAACCCTAGTGATCAAATCGATGACGCTCATCCTCTCCGCCCTAGGTGTTTCGCCGGAGGTTTTTCCCGGGTTTTAATGTTTCCTCTGAAATTCCTTCTCTTCTCTCCTCCGGTCGGGAACTTTCGACGTAGACCTGACGACACGTGGCAGTCTGCGAGGAGAATGACCGGAGATCGTTTTCTGACCGTTGGATCAGATGCCACCAGGCACCGGGTTATCCATGCTGCACTAAAATACTGTTCTTTACAAATGATAATATAAAGTATGATTAATAAGAACGTCTCAGATCAACACGTCATAGATTATTCTAACCAATGTCATATATAAATTTCTTCGCTTTTTCGATTTGGACCCGCTGGCGTATCCGACACGCGCCCATGGGAGCGCGTGACCAACAGAGGAGCAATTGCTATGCAAATATAGAGGAGTCCCCTTTGATAATTTTCCAAAAACCCAACGGTACAGTGACTGAACCCTTTTTCAAATCCCTTTTCTTTCTCGGTTCATCACAAGATTCACCAGATATGGCGAAGATTTCGGTTCTGGGTTTCTGTCTTTTCGTGTTTTCGTGGCTTCTTTGCCACTGTTACTGTCTTCAAGACTTTGTTTTGGCGAATAATGGCAGCTTCTTCACAGTTTCACAGTTTCAAGCTTCAGGTACCCTAAATCAGAGGTCTGTAACTTTGTCTCCTAAAACCCTTTCTCGCTCCTTTGACGAATTTCGCGTTTTTCATACCTTCTTGATGATTTTGCTTTGTTCATTTGAGTTTCGGACATTCGTATCGGTTTTGCGATCTCACCAGTTGTTTCTTTGCTCTTGCACAGTTGATTTGCCTCCATTGTTAATGAATGTACCATTGGAATCTGATGTAGACATCAGACATGATTACAACACAAGTACGTGAGCTTAGTTTGAGTTACTCGCTTATTACAGAACATGGGCCGTCAAAAGAATGGCTCAGTAATCTATCAAAACGCTCAAGAAACTGTTCCGTTGGGGATTTGTTGCGGCCGGTCTTTTATCACACTAACCATGGCAGCCAATTTAAAGTGGACACCAGTTCAAGCTACTGGATTTGGCACACAGGTATGTGTGTGTATATACACATATTACACACAACACTGTTGATGTACAGATACGTGTATATCAAGTTATCTCTTTCTGAAGATTGGCATATGGAAATATCATGCAGCATCTGGCATGTCGCCATCTACACTTCTTCCTTCTTCTTCCTCTGTTCAAAGATTACAACTGCAAATAGCGAGGACCAAGAACACAGAGCTGAAAATTATCAGTTAGCTAGGCAGGACTCTTTACCGAAAAATGAATAAAAAGTATACGAATGGAGAATCTTACCAGCGATAATGAGGAAACGGATTCTTGAAGCTGCCCTGTTGTACAATATCTTGTCAAACGGTATTATTACATCGAAGCAGTTCGGAGGAACAAGACATGGTAACACATAAATCCAAGCTGTTTTCTCCATCTGGATCTCGCCGGAAACCTGTCTGCAAATCTTGTATACTATTTTTGCTCATAGCTGAATCTTAACAGACTACTCCCCAACCCAACTGCACCCGGGAATTTTGGAATTGCTAACTTTCTTCACTGTTTTGCGCAGATGAGCGGCTTTCATCCAATGGCCTTCAGACATGTAGATGTTCGATAACATGGAGTAGTTAGCCGGGTTGGAAGGCTCCAATTCGACAAGTTTCTTTGCAGCCCATTTCATGGATTCTCTGTTTCCATGGACGTTACAAGCTCCCGAGAACGCTGCCAGGGCATGTGAGCTCGGTTCCATGGGCATAGCCATCAGGACTTTATACGCATCATCAATGAAACCGGCTCGGCTAAGAAGATCGACCAGGCAAGCATAGTGTTCAGACTCCGGTTCTATCTTGTAAACGTCACTCATCATCTGTTCAAAGTACCGAAGACCCTCTTGAACTAATCCTCCATGGCTGCATGCAGACATAACCTCTAAAAAGGTAATCTTGTCAGGTTGTAGCTTTCTTCTCATTCTCTCGAACATGATTAAGCTTTCTTTGGAAAATCCATGAAAAGCCAGGGCTCCGATGATCGAGGTCCATGAAACAAGATCCGGCTCTAGGAGAGAATGAAAACATACAAGTGCTTCGGATATATTCCCGGTCCTGGAGTAAGCATTGATCATGGAATTGGCAACAGATGGAAATGCACCAAACCCTTTTTTAGTTATAAAAGATTGCATTTGGAAAATCTCTCTAACCGCAGAGATTTTTGCGCAGGAGCTGAGAATACTAGCGAAAGAATACTCATCGGGATGAACATTTTCACGAAGCATTTTCACAAGAATCCTCATGGCTTCTCTCCCATCTCCAGTTTTGCCATAGCCCACGATCATGGAGTTCCACGTCACGACGTTTCGAGCAACCATCGATTCGAAACACTTTCGAGCGTCTCTCATCTGGGAACTTTTAGCGTACATATTGATTAGTGAAGTTGCCACCGGAATATCGGATTCTAAGGATAGCTTGAGGACATAGCCATGAATCTGCTTGCCCTGAACACTTCCACACGATCCGAGAATGTTCGAGAAAGTATATCCATCACCTCTGAACTCAGTTCTCAATCTCATCAGCTTGAGTATACTAATGGCTTCATCAATCATACCGTTGAGTACATATGAAGAGATTAGTGTATTCCAAAGCACCAAATCTCTGTCGGAAATTTCATTGAATACCCGTCTCGCTTCGGTCACAAAACCGCATTTTCCGTAGAAATCGACGAGGCTGGTACTAAGACAGCAACCTGAACCAAGACCATGTTTCGTGATCAGACAGTGCAATTGGCTACCGGCTTCCACGTCACTGAACTCCGTACACAACCGCATCAGGCCGAGAACAGATACATAATCCAAATCGACCATACTCGACAGCATTCTACGCAGATAACCAAAACCCAGGTTGATTCTCTGTTTCATATGGCCGCCACGGTGGACGACACCATGGATCATAATGTTCCAAGCGACGACATTTCTCTCGGGCATTCCATCGAAAAGCTTGTCCGCATCGTCAAAATCCCTGCGTTTCACGTAAGCATCCAAGACTTGATTTTGCAGAGACAGCGAACTGCAAATTCCCAACTTGATGGCGTATCCGTGTACTTGGTCCACATCACAAGCATGACCCACTTTAGCCGACAGTTTCAGCAGAGAGAAGCAGAAGGAAATAGCCCGGCCAGGGTTTTCTGAGTCGATCCAAGGAGGAGGAAGGGAATTGGCGGTTTGTGTGAGAGAGGACGAAGAAGATGACTGACGTTTGAAATGGACAGTCAGGATCGATGTAGGTCGCCTTCCGCAGCGCATGACGGAAGGGAGAGATGGCCTCCAAAACAGAACCCTCTTACAAAATCAGAGGCTCCCAAGCGTCAATTGGCTTCATACATCGGAATCCGACTGATCAAAGTTTCAGGCCTCAATATAATAAATTAATAACAAGTTTAATATAATAACCAAATTATAATAAATTGAAATCCAGAGATTTTGAAATCCTTTAGATATAGATAGTAGGTTAAAACTATGAAGAAAAACTAGAATGTTGTAAGTTTATTTTGCTCGGGAATAAGTGTTTAAAGGTATAAATTTAGAGATCTCAAACAAGTCGGTTCGGACAAGATCAGACCAATTCGTTTCGAGCCACTTTATTTTCAGTCCAACTCGTTAAACCCGTTTTTATTTAGGTCGAGAAATTCAAAACTCGAACTACATGGCTCGAATTCGCGAGGTAAAAAAATAAAAATATTAAATATAATAAAAAAATTATAAAAATAATAATTATTTTATTTTAAAATAATACAAATATTTAAATTTGATAAAAACCTTTTTAAAAAATATTAAAAAATAAAAATTATTTTTTTTCTGATTCGTGAACCAGTTTGTAGGCTCGTCGAACTAGTTCGCCATGAGTCGAGATTGTGGCAAACTAGCTTGTTTGACTCTTTTTTTTTTAGATTTAAAATTTTTCACTCCAAATCAAAAAAAAAAATATAGATTAGTTCGCAAGTTAACTCACAAACCAGTTCATTTTGATATTTTCATCCTAGGTAGGATGTTGGAGTCAGTAATAGGGATATATGATTTTTTTGAAGTCATTCACATATCAATATAAAAATTGAAAAACCGTTCATATATGAAATCCTTTTAATTGCAGTCATATTCGGAAATGTTAGTCATAGTTTGTGTTAGTTAATTACAAATGAATTTAGTTGATAGTTTTCATGGGATTTCATGTACAGCCTTTAGGATTGTGTTACTGTTTAACTATATATATATATATATATATATATATATATATATAGGTTACGACTTTCTCTTTTGTTACCATTCTCTTAATTCGAAATCGAATCGAACCGTATTAAACCGAAAAACTTATCAAACCGAACAATTTAAATTTTTTTAATGGTATTTTTTTAAAAAATCAAATTTGTCGTACTTATATCGAATTGTAAAAAAATCTAAAAAATCAAAAAATGTATTAAATTTGTCCTTAATAAAAAATCAAAACTAAAACCGAACCGAATATGATATAATAACCGATTAATATATATTTTTATATAACCGAACAAATGAACCAATATAAACCGAATACCAAAATATCCATTGGAACTCTTGGAATTCCCAACTTTATTATATGAAAAACTTTGAAAAGAGAGAAAACAATCAAAACAAACTCTCAAGAACAAAAAAGGACGAAGGAAGGGAAGGTCAGTATTCAAATCCCTCTCAAATCTGTTGTTCTTTTTGGATCTTGCTGTTTAGTGATTCTGTTCATATTTTATAAAATTTTCTGATCGGAAACCCTAATTTTCGGCCAAAAAAAAAAGAGAGAAAAAAAAATTGAAGAGGGGGGGTCTGGGTCCAAGCAAAATTGGATTTGTGACCCCATACTTCACTCTTTCACCATCATCGAACTTGAGAAAATGGCGGGCGGAGAGAGGTAGAGAGTTGGTGTGCCATTTCAAAATGAAAATAAAAATGGTGTGGATTTCGATTTTGTTTTTTCGGCGGGAAACAGCCCTAATTCCGCACATTGACGCCTAGGGTTCTTCGTCGTAAGTTCATGTCCTACTAGTTGAATCACACCCCGATATCTCTTTCCGCTCTCTCTGTATCTGCTTCTCGTGGGTTTTCTCCGTCGTTGAACTTTGTTTCCGGAGTTTTCGTCGCGGAAGATTTCTGGGTTTCTCTTTATCCTTGGGTTACTTAGGTTGGTCGCTATTTTTGATGCTTCAGGAGTACGATAATGGGATCTATGTATGTTTATAGGACCTCGTGTTCGAATTCCATGGCCGGATGGTCGACGGTAGCAGAGGAGAATACCGTCGGCCGCTGCAAAACTTCGAAGAAGCTGTCCGATTGCTCAAATCCACATCTTAAAGGGTCGGCTGTCGAAGGGGAGATCGAGAAGATCGTGCTCTTGTTCCGGCGCCTGCTTGAAGCTTTCCTCGAAGAGTTTTGTTCGGTCGGTAGTTTCCGGCCTCTGCCTCCGATGACGGGAGACGGAAAAACCGTGGATTTGTTCAAGCTCTTCCTTAACGTCAGTGATAAAGGTGGATTTGACGCGGTTTCCAAAAATGGGTTGTGGGGAAATGTTGCTCAAGATTCTGGGTTAGGGTTGAACGATTCAGCTTCTGCGAAGCTGATGTATGTCAAGTACTTGGATGCATTTGGGAGATGGCTGAATAGGGTCGTTTCAGTAGAGCCTGATTATAGTGGCCTGGAGTTGTCGGGAATCTCGGTAAAATTGGAAACAGAACTTAAAAGTTTTCTATCGGAAATCAAGAGGAAATATGGGCAGGGGAAAGGTGGGAACTCCGAGGAGTCAGGGACAGGGCTTAAGTGTTTTATATCGGAAATGAAGAGAAGATATGATAAATATCACACTGATAAAGAGAGTGTGTCTATTGACGCTGTGAAGAAGGTTGAGGAATTGGAAACGGCTGTTAGTGAGAAAGTAGTGTTTCATGATCAGGAGCTCGAGGGAAGCCCTTGTTCTGGGAAGAGGAAACGGGAATGTACTTCTGAGATGCTGAAATGGTTAACTAACGTTGCTAGGGATCCATGTGATCCAGCTATTGGTCCTTTGCCGGAAAGATCAAAGTGGGCATCTTATGGAAACGAGGAGCCATGGAAACGATTTCTTTTGTTTAGGGCTGCAATGTTGCAGAAAAGGCATACTGATTCTCCTTCTGGTAAACACTGGGAGGTATGTAGTATGTATATTCTTTGAAGATATTCGTTGATTTTCTGATAAAATCATATGCTGAGATGGTTAAGTGTTGTTTCTTGGAATAAGAAAGATAATTTATGGATCTTTTACGAAATTGTTGCTCTGGGAATAGATTTGATTGTTATCATATGTACAAGAACTAAATTTATCGCAGAATACTCATTATGGTTAATGGTGGCCAGAAATTTGAAACGTATGAGGTTGCTAATGAGGGACTAGGGTTCCATCACATCTTGATAATGCCGGTGCTTAATAAAATCCTAGCCATAAAACTTTGGTGCTCAATAATGTTGGTTGTGATCAGCATGAATCAGGGGTAAACCTTTGCCAGGGAACAAATATCTTATCTGTGGTTTCACTGCTGTTTCATGAACTGCATGGACACTGTGCATTGTTATTCAAATGACAAATCTGAGTAGATTGTGGATCTTTCTAATTTTTTGCGTCTCCTGAGTCTTGATTATGGTTTTTGCATGTATATACTATACTGTTTAACTACGATTGTAGTGTTTGAGTTGTATTGTATTTCTTGAGTTAATCTGATGTATTTGAAAATTTCTTCATGTTTTCTAGACGCACCAGAAGATGCACCCATACATGTACGAAGATAGCATTGGACCTGGTTACAACCTAAGAGAGAGGCTGAGTTTTAGTGGCAGTTCAGTTAATGAGAGGAAAGCTGCTAAACTTGAGATTTGTTCAGACAATGATTCATCAATGGAAAATTCAGATGAGGAATCAGACATTCCAGTTGGTTCAGATTATCAAGCTGAAGTTCCTGAATGGACTGGCAGTGTAGTTTCTGAAAGTGACCTGAAGTGGTTGGGAACTAGGGTCTGGCCCCTGGACAAAGTACAAAACCCGAGACTTCTTATCGAGAGAGATCCCATTGGAAAGGGAAGACAAGATTCGTGCGGCTGCGAAAGACCAGGTTCTGTTGAATGTGTCAGGTTTCATGTCAGCGAGAAACGAGTAAAGCTGAAGCTTGAACTGGGGTCAGCTTTCTCCGGATGGGGCTTTGATGAGATGGGTGAAGCCACCATGCAGATATGGACAAGTTTAGAACAAAAGAAGATAAATGCTATGATTAGGACTCCTCCTTTACTCGATCAATTGTTCTTCGAGCAGGTGGGCAAGATTCTCCCGACGAAGAACAGAGCAAAGATTGTAAGCTACTACTACAATGTCATCCTTTTGCAGTATAGAGCAAAGCAGAATAGGGGCATTCCTTGCGTGATTGATAGTGACCCTGATGAACCGGATTGCGAATCTGCATCAGATAACTCCGCACCTGCGGCAAGCAAATCGGGGAAACCTCTCCTACTTTCTCCCAAGAAACCAAATAGACAGGCACGGTAGATTTTGAACAGGAAACAACTGTTTTTGATTAAGACGGAGCATGGGTATTGTTTTCCAAAGCTTCCCTCTGAAACTATCAACTTGGAGATGAGATGATGCTCATTGGGTGATCAAATTTTGTGTTTTTTTTGGGTTATTTTGCTTAATTGCTTGATGCCAGCCTCTTCAGAAGAACCCTAAGGTATTTTCCTTTCCTTTTTTTTTCTCCTTTCTTTGGAGATCGCAGATGAAGAGCCGACTTGGTTTAGCGGTAAAACCATTTACCGTGGGGGATGAGGTCGCGGATTCGAATCCATCTTTCTACATTAAAATGTAGGGGTAAGGTGGTGGATATGAACTGGGTTTGGTCCTTTTTTTTTTGGAGATCGCAGATATGAGAACAAAAAATTGTGATTAGAAAGAGGGTGTTGAAGTACAGAGAAACAACCTTTTACTTGTTTTTGGTTGGTGAAGACAACTCGCGAGGAATGTAATTGCTCCTCTTGACTGTTCTAAGATGAAGTTTCTGCTCTTATCATTTCCTAACCAGCTTTGTCTTAAAAATTCCAAAAATGTTGAAGCTGCTGCTCACATTTGTACAAGCGGGTGTGAATTTTTTTTCCATATTTTTTGGCTTTTGATGTAATGCTATGCAACAATGAAAATATGAATTGAATTTCGGCCGAGGTTATATAGTTTTGTTCAATTGTATATTCATAAACCGGACATTTTCTCATTTGTCATTTCAGCTGTTCATCCTGAAATAGACCCAACAGTTCATTGGAAATGAAGATCAGAACAAGGAAATATTATTCGAACATACGGACAATGACATTATATAAACAAGCACATTAAAAAAAACAACAGATGGAATATAATATAAAGTTTTTCGCATCTCTTTTTATTGAGTTGAGCAGAGAAACGAGTTGAAGCTGCCAGCTTCAAGAAACCCAGAAGAGGGCAGAGTGATCAGTCGACAGAGACAGGCTCCATCTTCTCAGCTTCCTTTCTCAGCTCTTCGAACAGCACAGACGACAGGTATCTCTCCCCAAAACTCGCATGCAAAGTCTGAAAATTTTCGTCGAAACCAGACATTTTTCACTGTCTGAAACGATGAATCTCTCTTCTGAACGATGAATTTTCGTTAAAACGAGATTTGTTCTTACCACTATGAGCTTGCCTCTGTTCTCCGGCATCTGTGCCAGTTTGAGAGCTGCTACAGTGTTGGCACCCGACGATATCCCCACCTGCATTCACACCCATGTCTTAATATGTCTGTTTCAGACACCCGAAACATGTCTGTATATGTATTGAAAGCTTGTTGAGTGTGTTTTATGGTTTTTTTTTTACCATGAGACCTTCCTTCAGTGCCAATTCTCTAGCCATCTTTACAGCATCATCACTGCTAACCTGTCATCGAGTCTCTCGGTCATGAGTTCCTTTCATTTCTCTCCCTACGAAAACTTGCAAGTTGTTCGAGTTCAAAAAGATCATGGCTTTTGGTAACGACTGATTCAACACTGACCTCGAGAACCTTCTCCAGGATATCCATTTCCAAGATATCCGGCTTAAATCCAACCCCATTGCCCGTGATAGCGTGAGGACCTGTTCAAACGACAACATCAGAGGCAACAGATCCAATACACCGACAAGAATATGCATACAGTACTATCGAGCATTGGCCAAGAACATAAAGGAGAACCAGAAATGGGGACAAGTCGATGCTTTTTTACCCGGTTTACCACCGTTCAGTATGTTGCTTTCTGCAGGTTCCACTCCATATATCTGAAACGCAAGACAAACACCATGATGCATCATTTCATGAACTAATCGAGTATGATCTCTCATATACAACCATGATGCATCATTATACCTTAACATTAGGATTCTTAGATTTGAGGTACTGCCCAACACCGGTGACGGTACCACCACTTCCGATTCCCATCACGAATATGTCAACATTTCCAAGAGTGTCTTCCCATATCTCAGGACCAGTGGTCTCGAAATGCGACTGTTTACAAGCACCAATACCATACATCAGCCCTTTATCTACTTGTACACAGTGCCGGTTGTGTGGAGAGAACCAACCTGCGTATTGGCCGGATTAGAGAACTGCTGCAACATGTGGGCATCGGGTGTATTCTCCAAGAGTTCATACGCCTTCTTGACGGTTCCTCCCATTCCTTTGGCTGGATCGGTGAGGATGAGCTCAGCCCCGAAGGCCCTCATCGTCACCCTCCTCTCCAGGCTGGTGTAAGAGGGCATTGTCAGTATCATCCTGTACCCTTTCATCGCCGCTATGAAAGCCATACTTATCCCCATGTTCCCAGATGTCGGTTCTATCAAAGTTGTCTGAAAACAAGCATCATCGGGTCAAGAAACTCGTGAGGAAGTGATAAACAGAACAGCAGAATGATCCTCATCAGGACACTGTCGATTGACGAAGACAGCGGTCTCTTAGAAGCTAAAATCGAATCTCGAGCTCAAATTGGTAAAAGGAAATCAGACCATGGATGAAGTCGTCAGAAGACGCTTACCTTGCCAGGAATGATCAAGTTTTTCTGTTCTGCGTCGGCTATCATGGCTAATGCCGGTCTGCAGACAACAAACAGAGCAAGATCGATGCTTTCTCTTTAGATTCAGGACCAGACAAGAATCGTATAAACTGAAATCACAATGGAAAATGTTGGGGAGAGTACCTGTCTTTGACACTGGAAGTTGGCTGGAACATTTCTTGCTTGGCTGCAATATAAGCCCCACATCCTTCGGTCACTTTGTTGAGGAAAACAAGAGGAGTCTTTCCGACAAGCTGCAACGAACAACACAACCCAGAAAGAATATTTTCGGACCTCCATTGTTGATCAACACGAACCCGGATGAAATTTTCCAGGAAAGTGGAGGAAAAAAATCGAACGATCGACTCACCAGAGAGGCGTCGCGCTTGGCATTGGTGGAGGGGAAATCCTTGGGAAGATCTCGGAGTCTCTGAGCGAAAGAAGGGGATCCAACGGTGGAGAAGAGCTTCCTCACGGTGTTGGCGCCACCGGGGATAGTCTCTCTCCTCAGGAACCTCCTCGACGCAGCCGCCATTGATGAGAGACCGAAGAAAGCTCAGAGAGGGAGAGAGAAAGAGACACGAAAACTTTTCCGAAGTATCCGAAGGTGGTAAGCGTAAGGTGGAGAGAAAAAAGGTAGTGGTAGCCAAAGCTATATATATATATATATATATATATATACACACACACCAAACAAAAACTGATGAAGTCATCTTTCCACGAACGAAGAGGTGAAATTAAAATCTGAAGAGAGTGAAACGGCCTCGAGTCAAGAGTCCTTTAAGGGATTTCGGACAAGAATCTTTTTGACGATACTTTGGACTGAGACAGAAGGTCTTGTTTTGGAAAAACATTCTAGATTTGGGGAGACTTCATAATTTTAGGAGGTCGGGATTAATTGGGAATCAGAGCAGAAGCTGCAGAAGACTACTTAAAAATTTACAACGTTTTAAAAAAAATCAGAAAATAATTGAAATATGTAATTTTGAACATTAAAAATCTAAACTTTTTTTAAAGAAAACGAGGATATATATTCTATAGCCAAAAAGAAAAAGACAAGCTTTTTCCTTGCCCATTACCTAAAATCATACCAAAATTGTACGAAAAAAGGCAAAAAAAAATTATTGCATCATCCAATAAAGGTGTAAAATTTAGTTCCAATAATAAAGGTATAATTGTGATTATATTTTTCATTGGTGAAGGCATAGATATAAAGGAATTTTATTCAGACATGAGATACTTATTAGATAATACTGTATTTATTGCCTTTATAACACAAGGTCCACTCCCTTAATTACAGTTTTTTACTTATATATTTTGAATGAAAAAAATTAGCAATTGGTGTTCGATTCGGGGATGTAGTTTTAGTGACCCATGTCTCTGTCTCAGTTTCCAAAGCAAGTTGGTGAATCATTTGTTGTAAAATCAATTATATATTTATTTATTAAAATCTTAATGAATCACGTTGTGTTTTATAGATCTACCCGTCACACCCACATGCCTAAAATCTACTTGCAGAAAATAAAATAAAATTTTGGACTTTTAGTTCTATACATATAATATAAAATAAATAATAAATGGGTGGAATGTAAAAAGAAAAAAAAAAAGAAAACTCCCGAATTCTATTTCAGATTTCAATTTTGAATTTATTATATTCGGATTTAATTAGTTCACATTGAATATAAAACTATTTAATTTTTGAATCGATTTTTCGATTATATTTTTTTCTAATTCTGATTCGTTTCGATTTTTTTTATTTTAAAACTCATAATCATCCAATTTTTAATTCGATTTAATTATATTTAAATATCATTCTATTCGAATCAAGTTGTTCTATCGGTAAATTACGCACCGTTTCGACCTTGCTGGCCTCCAATGTTTGCCCCCTCTACTGTTAAAACTCGGAATGCAGTTTATTCCACCCAGACTAAAACGACAAGCCCACCGCTCTGAAGCCTCCGAATCACATTATAACTGTGACAACTGTTTTTTTGCTCATATAAAATGACCATTTCTTCACTTCAATTTTCGATCGAAATCTGGTTCCACAAGGTATGAAGAACCTTCCTTCTACGTTGATTCTTCTCTCCGTCCTCTTTCTCCCTCTTACCTTCTCCCACCTCCACGGATTCGTCCGCCTCGCCGAGGCCGGGAAGCGGCGGATCGAGATCTCCGACGACCTAGACGACGTCGTCGACGATGAGGAGGACGACACCTGGAAGGAGTGGGGGAAGAAACCCTCGCCTAAGACTGAAGAGTTCGATCCGCCTCCGAATATCTCCAATATGGCTCCCGACCAGATCCAGGCTGAAATGGCGAAGCGCACTTTTGGACCTGTCTTTGGCTTCGTCAAGCTCCGGTTTGGCGTTCGCCATACCAAGGTAAATGACTTCCTCCATCTCTCTATTTCTCTTTATTCAGTTGCAATTGCCCCGTAGATCGAAGACTAATGGGGTTACGGCCAGATTACACCAAAATCCATTTGACATTCATGGATATCAGATGATGAACTGCAAGAACCGGAAAAAACCGAGTAATTTTGCAATCATAACATTAGAACCTGAAGATATATGTGTATAGTTGAAGATGTGCGTTGTTATTTGACTGTAACAGGAAATGTTGCTTGAAACTGCCATGAAGTGGAACAAAGTGTTGAAGACTGGAGGGTTGGAGGTCAAATTCACTGGTGTTGACCTGAACACAATCATGTTCAAACTGCAAAGCGGGAAGGACGCTTTGGAGGTAACTTTCATACACCACAAAATATATACAATTTTGATTTGTTCTCTTGTCATTATCTTCTCACATACACTCTTGTCGTGGAGAATTTCACAGTTGAAGGATTTCATCCTGACTCAACCAGAGGCTTACGAGGTTAAGATAGGGGAACAAGCATTCAGAAGACCTGGAGATCCTCCTCTTGATGAAGTCCTTGCGAAATTTGAGGCCGAGAAGAAGAAGGACAATGGTGATGATAGATCTGAGGTTGATGAGAATGTTAAGGACGAGTTATAGTTCTTACTTCTTAGGAGGATTGTCGTTTTAGCTCTTTCACATCTAATCCAACAAGTTTTGATTCAATGTAGTTTCTTCGTCTACAGTCTTCAAACGCTTCTTACTTGTCCTTCTTCTCCAACCCCTAGGGTTCAAAATTTTATCAACATTGACATACATTCGGAACAATCAAACGGATACGCAACATTCACAAGTTCAAACTCAACTGCTGATTTCCAGGAAAAGCTGAAGCATAGTCGGAGAAAAAGAATCTACGACTTTCTCGACAGCCAAACAGAATTGACAGTAGAGAGAGAGATGAAAGTACCTTAACAGCAGAGATAGAGAGAGCTCTCTCCACAGCTATTACGGAGAACTCCATCGAAATCGAAAGCGTAGAGATCTCCCATCACCTTCTTCCTCCCTCCGCCCTCAAATTGTGAGAGACAAACTGGATTTCCAAGTGTTCACCGCTTATATTCCCCTCAGATCTCATTAGCCAATTATAACTCGCCACGTTTTCCGTACATTAATTTTCTGGTAGGGCTAAACCGAATCCGGTTCAATCTATTTTATTTTCGGTTCCGTTTTGAATTAGTTTTGGATGGACGAAAACTCTTAATCTTCCCGTAATTTGAATTAATATAATATAATATATAATATAATGTATATGTATATAAATACTATATCCGGCTTCACACGCAATGACGCATGAATCAAGGACAACTGAACAGCAACCTGATACCACACGTTTTATCCCGCTGTAGCCGGTTATACCGTCTGCTCTTTGCCTCGTCCGAAAACCGGCCATTGCCGGTAATATTCATTGTTCTCTACTTTGCTGGATTTCAGGTCACCCCCGCGAGGAATCCCATCATCATCCTCCGGTTCTGTATTGTACCTTCCCAGGTTTATACCTCTCATCAATCATCTGTGTAGTTGTTCGGCATTGCGATTCTTTTTCTGGATCGGTTCTATGGCTTTTGGAATCGGTTTTTAAATCTCTGTCGCGGTTATGTTTTTGCAAATTTTGATGTTCGCATGCTGAATTCCATAAAATATATATTTGTTCAGAGATATATGGTTGTCCGTTAGATCGCATGATGCTGTTGCTTCCGGATTGGGATTTTTGCCATGGGGATTGATTACACGGAGTTGTCTGAAGGGATTTGATATATTTGGTTTGTCTGATTGTGAAACTTGGCCTACTGATTTGTAATTTGCGATCTGTGGATCCTTTATGGCGATGTTCGGTTCAGTTTTCTGTATTTTGGAATCAAGAGGCTTAATTTATTTATCCTTAATGTTGGTTTAGGGTAATTGCAATGCACGCATTGGGGACTCATTGTAATCTGTAGTTAGTTCTCGTTGTTCTGTGATTAAGCATTTCTGTTTACAATGAGAACTAGAGGTTTTACGGCTGCTAATGTCGTGCCCTGTCAATTCAGCTGATGATGACAGAGTTGATTTCTAGCCGAAGCCCGAGATTATGTGTTGTTTACTTCTCTGCTTTCTAGGTGTTAACCTAGTTTTGTGATAGCAGGTTCTACGGTGTAGGATGGATAATAAAGATGAACAAGGGGAGCATGCTCCTCGAGGAAACGAATGGGAAGTCGTCTCCCTTACTGCATCGGCTTATGCCGCTGCTCCTGGTCCATATAACATCGAGTTGAGGGATGCTCGGAAGTATGATACTTACTACGAAGCAGAAACTTCAAATACTTTATTCATGTCTGATCACTTTGTCTTCCCACCGAGTGAGCATGAGAATGTACCTGTCGAGACTTTCTTTTCTGAGCCCGACAACGATAAGGGAAGCAAGTATGTGGATCCTCTGTTTGAAACGGATCAAGCGAAGCATACTGATGAAAAGGATGAAAAAGACTCAACGATGAGAGGAGCAGACTTGCCGAATGCGTTCTCAAGAACATGGTTTCGTGATGAGATGGGTAACAAGAAACAAAGTATCTACGGTGAATCAACACTTGGTTCTGTCCAGAGTGAAACAGCCAGCAGTAGAGCAACCAAGCATGAGCATGAATCACATTATGTAGAATCAAATGAGACTCTGGAGGGAGGCTTAGACTTGCATTCTGATGCTTCAAATCTCTTTAGATCACCATCAAAGGATGCCAAAGATGCAACTTATAACCTCCCATGTGAAGCCTGGTGGAGAAGGAGGGTTGTTTCCGTGTATGCTCACGCGAAAGAGGCGAAAGCTTTCTGGTCCTTGTTTTTTGCCGCTGCTGTGACTGGCCTTGTAATCCTTGGTCAGCGCTGGCAACAAGAGAGGTGGCAGGGTTTGCATCTCAAGTGGCAATCCAGCATCGGTAGCGAGGTATCAAACATTATCACTTTATACTAAAAAAAATTCCATTGTGTCATTGAATCCCCGAATAGGTTCTGAATTTCCGAGCGCATAAACATTATGCAGAGTACAAGAATCTTCATTGCACCTGTTTTAGTTTGCTAAATGAGATTATGCAGTCTCTTCTGTGCGTTGAATCAGGCAATGCCAATGCTATCTAACAATGTTGTCCATTGATTTCAATCATCCTTTTTTGCGCACAGAAGTTGAGCAGAGTACTGGGACCTCTCGCACATTTTAAAGACTCGGCGGCGGGAGTCAACTGACAAGCTTCGTTCGTGAGGAGTGGTTCCTTGGGTGAGATTTAAAGACCGAAGAGACAAGGCAAGTGGTGTGGCTTTGTTCTGATGCTTGTGTTTAGCTTTGGCCTCTACAATCTCATACTCTGCAGGTACATATAGAATAGAACCGTGTTTCACATACAAAACAGGATCTGATACTTAAATTCATTTATACAATAGTTAGTGAATGGTGTTTGCTTGGTTTATTGGAAACTCCTCTGCCTTCTGTCATAGCTTCTCTCTAGATCTCAAACCTTGATGTTTGTCGGGTTTTTTTTTGGGACCTATATATATATTTTTTTTGAATAAACTGATGGAATGTGAATTGTGATAAACCCTTTGAATAGACAGAACAGTTAGAATAAAAATGCATATGTCTAATGTAAAAAAGTAGCTGAGTTTTGTCTCGATTGATATTAATACGCTGGTCGTCCATCATGTGAATTGGGTAAACTAGCTAACTTTATTTATGTTCCACCATTGTTTATTATTATTATTAGCCAACTTCTTTAGTTTGTGTTTTTTTTTTTAAATCTTCTGTAAGTATTCAGATTGAAAAATACACGGTAAGTTTGTTCATGGCATGTGAATCATATCTATATTAATTTCGTGGCATATGTTTGTGTGTGTAACATACAAATTAACATGATAATGAGTTTTGTTCGAGACCCAAATAATCATATTACCATTAATGGCGTATCAAATAATGTGGATGGACTTTCCTCGAGCAAGTGAATCACTTTTGAAGTTTCTATATCCTTCCACCCCCCCCCCCCGCGCT